TTTTTTTTTTTTTTTATGTATTTTCTTGTTTTGTTCCTCTCTTCAAACTCAAGTTGGTTAGTTTCTATCCTCCTTGAGTTTGCGGGGGGCTGTTAGAATTTACCATCACCTACCACCACTACCACCTCACCTACTCCACTAAACCTAACCCACTACACCACTACCACCATCCACTACACCTACATCTATATAAGGAACCATTTGTAATAGACAGAAAATCAATCATACAACAATCAATAATACAATCATTTCTCTTTATACATTAAATTTCTACAGTTGTCATTGCTTTCCACTAAAATGAGTTCTCAATCTTTGCTCCAGGACAAACCTCAGAACCTTATTACAGCCTACTTTTTCAATTTACTTTTAGCAATAAGTTTTCTAAGCTAGATGAAAGCTTAACCTCAGCAAAAACAGGTGTATGCTATGGCCACCTTAACACAAGACCTTTATCAAATCTTCATCCTCAACTATGCCACATGATTAAACCAACCAATCTACTCTTAAACATTATCTATGTCCAATATCAACTGAGATTTCTAAAAGGAAGCTGGAAAAATGTTTTTATAAGTTCTTAAATAGTTTCACAGGCTGAAAATTAAACGAGTAGAAAATTAAAATTTGACCTGGGGTCCTGTGACCAGCCTTGAACTGCTACTTACAGTTGGTTGCTCCACATTACGCTGTGGCTGTTGTTCAAACTCCTGTTGTTGAAGAGCCATTGCCAATTGCAGATCAGAACTGTCAAGAAAAAGAAAAGCGAACAGAATAATGAGTCACAACTAAATAAGGTTAACATGTAGGATCATTTAGCCTCCATTTGGGTAGTTGGTTTTGAGGCTTTTTTGGCTAAAATAGTCACAAAAAATAAAATAGGCTTTTTAGCCCAATAAGACAAACCATTACATCCAACCCATAATCATTACATTCTTTCTCTCACAAAAACGTCAAAAAAACCAAAAGCTCTTCCCAAACCAGGCTTTTTAGCCCCAGGCTAAAATAGCCTAAAAAGCCAAAAACCAACCAACTTCCCAAACGAACCCTTAGCAATCCAAGAAATACAAAAATAAACTTGACTTAATAACAGGTTTGAACAGGAAGTTTCCAATGAAAAGGAAACTAGAAGTTTAAACTCCAAATTAATATAAAAATTTAGCATCTTGTTCCAACATTAAACAGGTAACAACTGATGACAAGAAAAATGCCAAAAATTTCACCCAAAGTTTTCATAAATTAGTTGAACCAAGCAAAACAAAAAATTTTAAAAAGGGTATTCAAGCAAGTGCAATAGAGTAGACTAACAAAACCAAAAGAAAAGCAATTAAAAATAAAGAAAAATAATAATTTGACTCATAATACCAACTGAAAGGATCCAACAACACAAAAAAAAAACGACATTATCCCATTAGAAGGGGTCTACCATGTCCCCTTATTGTACTACAAATCTATTAATCAATGCATAAGCAAGAAATAGTTAGAACAATTACTTGAAACTTGAATTGACATCTGCTGAATTGTCCATACTGGCAAGATATTCCTGAAGCACATAAACTAGAATTAGTTCCCCAAAGCATGAGTAACAATGCCAAATTTCAAAAAATGGTATAAAAGGAGCTACACACAGCAGTATTGACCATTGCATTTTGTTCATCCCATGTATTGTTGGCATGGTTTTCCACCTTGAATTCCTTAAAATTACCAGTCATGAACAATGTATCTCCATTGACCTGAAAAAAATCAAGAAACAAACTGAATTTCAAGCTGGCAGAATTATAAGCATACAAGAAACAATATTATCATCTTACCACAAGGTTTCTCAACTACATTTAATGAATTTAGTAAGTACTTGGAGAGTCCAGAAATACAAAAATGGACATAATACTCTGAACGGTTTTTGCAGCAAAACTTGGAAGTATCAAAATTTTTCCCAGGATGTTTAGCAAAGACATTAGTATTATATTTCAATTGATCATATAAAATAGCTAAGAAATAAGATATCAGCAGGCTCCTCATAAGAAGGGTCGGTCAAAAGGATCTTACCTCATTTAGCTTTTCCCACACCAAATCAGGCTGATTTATGTAACCTTGGTCAGTAGCCAAGATATACAATTCACCATCATACTGCAAAAAGGATAACACAAGGTAATATCCTAAAAAGTAATGTTGAAGGAAACAACATAATGATGCTTTAGGGAACAATATAATAATGCTTTAGGGCCTGCTTGGATTGTGTTTGTTTCACTTTTTTGGTAACAAGTAAAAACATGTGCATTAACATTAAATTGAAGCCCATTCCATATTAAATTCTCTTGGAAGAAAGAAAAACAAAAACACATATCCTGTTTTCTAGAAAACATGTAACACAACCAAATAACCTCTTTATTGGCTTCCATTGCTCATCAGCTAATAGTATTGTTGCCACCTCACACTGGTCTCAGTTAATCATTAATTTACAGTAACAGAAAGATATGATTCCCACTAACCTTAAACATGGTGTTGAAGTGATTATTGCGGAAAAAGACACAAAGCTCACGTTCTTTCAGACCATCTTGTAAGGAAAATAGGCTGTAAGAAATACAAAAAATTACTACAATGAGAGTAATGATACACAAACAAAATACTCATACAGAATTTCTATACAGAATGACGTGGCATAATGCAGAATTTTCACTTCAAAACAGAACATCCATAAAGATGGATTTTATTTACAGCAATGGAATTGCCATATCATTCTTGTGGTATTTTTTCTATAATTTTTTTGTATGAATAGAATTATCCTAAACTGAAAAACCTCCTTACCTGCAGAACAATAATGACTCTAAACAAATATGTGAGAAAATCTACAGCTAAACAAAAATCTAGCGTACCCATGGATGGTCAACTGACTAGCATTGTTCTTCAAAAAATCCCTGATCAGTTCCCCTATACAGAAGTGAGCAGATAGTAAGCAAAGCATTTTGCATGAATTCATTAGCACCAACAAACACGTTGAAATGCGCTACAGAAACTAAGATATCTACTTGTTTGATACAGAGCATTTGCTACCTTGTCTTGGAGAAATTTCATCCTTGGACCTTGCATCATAGGCATCTCCAGTACCTTTGTCCACTTGTTCTGCAAGAACCACCTCGCCTTCATACATAGGTTCTCGGTCTTCATAAATTGTGGTTCTTGATTCCAATATGCATTCCTCCCCTTCATAAATGGGCTCACTGCCTTCAGCACTTGAAGTAAAAGCATCAGGAACATCTGTATGTTGCCTTCTGCCGCTGGATGAATCTAAATCTGCACCTGGTGCAGATAAACTAGAAAGTTCTGCTGTGTCACAACCATGTTTATTATCTTCTGGCACATGCATATCAGATGTGGAAGTGGATTGCTTCTGACTTTCTTCATCTCCTCTAGATTCAAGCATATGGTTTTCACAAGCAGATGAAGTATCCTGTCCAAAAGAGTCAGAAGGTGCAATCTCATTCTGGACCAAAACATCAACACTGCTTTTTTCAACTATATCTTTAGATTTTACACATTTTCCAGATTCATCAGAAGTTGATTGATCAATGTCACTTACTTGATCATTTTTTGCACAACCAGCTTCCCTTGGAACTGCTTCATGAGTTATCACCTCATTACTCGAATTGCTCAAGGCACTGCAATCATGGGATAAGGATAAATCAAGCAGAAAAGACTTTTGGTTTTCAGCCTCACTATACCCTTCTAATGTTTCTACAGGAACTACAGGTTCAGAATTCTTGAGAAATGCACTTTCATTTGAACTGAAAGACATGTTTTGCCCACTAGTATTCACTGGAGGTGAATCATTCACCGAAGTAGGCAATTCGTCCTCTGACATTTTCAAGGCTCTCAACAACTCCTCTTCTTCCTCCATATCTCCTTTCCTTACTTTATGATGATCAGCGACAGCAAGTAGAGAATCATCAAAAGATATACCTCTTGAAAGGCAAGGAGAAGGAACTCCTAGAGTAGCAGTTGTTGCAGCAGCAAAATCAATAGAATCTTCTTCAGAATTCTTTTTTTGTTCACCCTCCATATTTCTTGTTTCAAGGGCAACAAGCTCCTCCATGAGAGTATTATAGGACTTTGTTCCAATTGCATTTGCAGTATCATAATCCTGGCATACACAAACAAAGAGGTGGGATCATCAAACCAAAGTAAGTTGCCTTGACTATGCTCAAGGAGCTAATCAAAATATAAAGTTTTAGTGGCTCTCAAAAAGAAGATTATTGATCATCAAAAAGCCAGGGATAAGAATACACAAATCTACTCTACCAATACCTGCCACCTGCTTATTTTATCCAACATCAAACTAACGATGTTCAATGTATAAAACATGTTTGAAAACTTTAAAGGCAATTAAAAAGAAAAAAATTGACATACATAAATGGAACACACCATAATGCAAGTAACAAAATAAATAAGAAATATGTTCTCTCTCTACAATTCTTGTAAAAAGTATAGAGTCAAAAGAATTTAAATTAACTTGGGACCGAAGAAAACGCCAATAAGATGTAAGAAGTAAAAATCCAGAAACTAATGGCAGAGTTAATAAGGGAGCACAACTGGACAAGTATTGAAATCTTAGTTTAAAGTTCTGCTGCTTCATGCAGTTTATGTTTTCTCTAAAGAAGTTCCTGTCTGGCTTCACCTTGGTTTTGGTTCACGAAAATTTCAAATAGTGAAAGACAGGGTAGCAAGGAAATTAATCGCCCCACTGCAGGAAGGGCGGGACATTGGATGATCTCATTCATCCAAAGCATTCAATGAAAAACAGGATTCCACACTTCTCCGCCCTAAGGGTAAGGATGTAAAAGGCACGAGGTTAAATCTATGTTACTTGGATTCAAGGACAAGTGCCGGGTGTAGATGTGTTAGTGTCAGATAAACCTCATACTCATGCCTGAAGACTCCAGGACATGGCTAACTTTCATATTTCTACAACATTTCTTTCATTTATTTAGGGTAAAATGGTGTTCCTGTTTACAAATTAACGTAGAGCTTTTTTATGTATAGAATGGGAATATTTTTCATAGCTCAATAGTAAACACTACTACTTAAACATATTTGTTTGGTTATATCGAAAGAAAAAAATATTTGATAGGTGCATGTCTCCAACTAGACATGATAGACACATTTCATACCCCAACCCATGTGTCAAGTGTCCAACATGCATACTTCACAAATTTAGAAGAGTCCGTGTAACACAGGGCTGGATATAGCGTGTGACACATTGGAACACAATTCTCCTAATATAAACATGAAACAATTCCGAATTGAACACAAATCGTTTACAATGGTGAGGTTTGAAGCCTAAAAAGAACATACCTGGGGATCAACTATCCAACCATGATACAGTGGAATGTCCAAAAGATCAAATATTGCACACTCACGAGTAAACTCAAAATCATCAATTCTGCAATAATTGTGCACGTGTTGTGGTCAACATTAAGACAAGTAAACAAGGCTAAGCACCACATCAAGAATACTACTGAAATGTGAAGTGGATGATGATAAATGGTCACCATGGGCAAAAATATAGAAATTTTACCTCCTAAATTTTATATTTACATCAATTCCTGTCGCAAGCCGAGGAAGCAAATCAATTGCATCAGCAATGTTCTGTTGTTGATTTTCAACATACCCTGCATCTTTGTTCTGTACCCCAATTAAAAAGGGTCAAATTTAATACAAAACAACAAAGAAAAGGCATTTTCCTTCTGTATGGTTCTCAGTAGATATGCGAGAACAGAAAAAAGAGTATTATAAACAACCAAGAAATGAAGCCACTTTTATCAACTTCTACCATTTGCTTTTCTGTCCTCTCATTCTAAGAACCAAACATCGCTATAACATTCACCAAACAAACAGAGAATTACATCGACATTACTGTTTGAATCAATTAACCGCTCCGCAACAAGTGAGAGCAATTTCTCCTGTGATACTTCTGCAATGTCTGGACTCAAATTCAAGTTGTTCTTTAACAGAAGAACATTACCTATCAAACACAGAACATGTTGGTAATCAAAGCATAGCTCAAACTCTAATTTTGAACACGAAATCACAATAAATATAAATAATAATAAATAAATAAATCAGAATAGCATACTTTCTCAAAATTTGAATCAAGGAAAACATTAAACTATATTAAAAAGCAAATCTTTTGATTAACAAACCTTTTTATCACTAAAGCATTAACTCTAATTCCCAAAATCAAGAACAACAAAGACCTAGAATTAATTTCAATTTCACACAATTCATCACTATGAGGCATAATCTTTCAAATTGAATTCTGAATCGTACATGATAAGATTCAAACTTTAAAATGATCATTTCTTGATTAGAAGCCAAAAGAATACATGGAATGCTTACAAAAACACAAAACCCTAGGAGAGAGAAAGAGGTTTACAGATAGCGAGGAGAGGGCAGGGACCATTGTCGTTCTGAAGGATGATAGGAGTGGTGCGTCCCAAGAACTGTATGGCCTTGGTCTTGTGTTCCATTTCCTTCGCTGGTTCGTCTCTTCGCTCTTCGGAGGGAGAAGCCATAGGTGGACCTTCTTCTTCGATGTAGCGAAAGGATATATGTATATGTGTGTGTATAGGCAGAGAGAGAATTACAGACGAATGACGAGAAAAGTTTTAGAGAGAGAGAAAGAGGGAGAAGTTTGATGGCGCAAGACAGCCTCTTCTACGGTCCTTTTACTGCTTTTTTCCGGTACAACACGTGAACGTATTGTTGATGTATCTATACATCTCCCAGCTTCTTGCAATAAAATTTGCGTCCAAAAATTAAAATCAAAATTATAATTGATTTTTTTTATCTCATTTCATTTTTTTTTTGTTTTTTATTTTATTTTATTTTATTTTATTTTTTTGAGATACAAACAAAAATACAAATTCTTCTCTTTAACAAATCTTAGGCAAAATGAGAGTTGATGGGTTCGTTTGGTTTGAATTTCCCAAAACTTTTTGGGAAAATTTCTCTACAAATGAGTTTTCAGAAAAACTCAAACCAAACAAATTTCAGCCTCTTCTACGGTCCTTTTACTGCTTTTTTCCGGTACAACACGTGAACGTATTGTTGATGTATCTATACATCTCCCAGCTTCTTGCAATAAAATTTGCGTCCAAAAATTAAAATCAAAATTATAATTGATTTTTTTTATCTCATTTCATTTTTTTTATTTTTTATTTTATTTTTTTTATTTTATTTTTTTTTTTGAGATACAAACAAAAATACAAATTCTTCTCTTTAACAAATCTTAGGCAAAATGAGAGTTGATATATAGTTGACCTGGGATGTAACTCGGGCTCAGCCCGGCTTATGTCGGATTGCGCAAGCACTCACTAAAATTTGGACTAGGTCAAACCGGCTACAAAATTAGGCCCAATCTCATAGAGTATTCGGGCCTTGGTCGGATCGTTGGGCCTGCATGAGCCTAAACATTTTTTTTATATTTTTTTACTTTTTTCTACTAAAATTTTATTCTTTCCCACAAAAAATAACATTAGGCCTCGAGTGGGTGGGACAGGCCCGGCCTCAGGCCAGGCTTTGAGTGGGCTTTGAGAGGGCCAGGCTCTAAGTGGGCTTTGAGAGGGCTAGGCTCATAGGTCAAGCTGGACTCGAAACACATGGGCTAAGCCTAGGCTAGGGCCCCATGCGAGGCTCGAAGTCGGGCCTAGTCATAGGTTAGGCTGGACTCAAAACACATGGGCTAAGCCCAAGGCAGGGTCCCGTGCTAGGCTCGAAGTCGGGCCTAGTCAAGCTGCGAGTAGACTTCAAGTGGGCTGCGGACCATTTTTACACCCCTATAATTGACCATGATCGACTAGACTAAGCTAGGTTGGGCTCAAATAAATCCGACTCTTGGCAGGGGAAGTAAAGTGTGAGAAAAAGGATTTTTTTTTATAATTAGAAAAAGGGTGCTCTTTGGTGACATCAGTACAATCCCTAAGTTTCGGTGTATAGGCCAAATTTACTCTAATCCAAAGGATTACCTACCACTGGAATAAGCTAGGAATGCACTAACCCCCAGCACAAGAGGCAAAGTCATAAGCAGTGTATAGGCCAGATTTACCCCAATCCAAAGGAAGAGAGCCACCATTGGAATAAACGGGGAATGCACTAACCCCCAGCACAAAAGATAGAGTCACGAGCAAAGTATAACACTATCAGATTCACCAAATAAATAGGTCACTATTCGTGTTTCCCCAAGAATCGAGCCCTGCTCATTTGTGTGGAAGGCTAGCGCCTTTCCACGCCACCACCATCCCCAATGGTGGAAGAAAAAGGATTTGATTCTTTATATACATACGTATTTCTAATTATCTTCATTCTTCTCTCTATTTTTTTACCATAATTCTCACTTCGGCATTAGAGGGTCTTTTCCAACAATAAGGTTGTTAAATAAGTTCATAGTCTTTGTCTTTGTAGATATTGTTTACTTGTTGAAGGTTTGAAAGTTAGAGTTCTGCTAACTTTACATTTACATGAGAAAATTATCTTTGTACAAATCAGATTTTATATATGATAGGACCTAAATATTTTTCTTAATTATCATAATTTATTGTTTAGTTATACTACAAGACTCTGGATATAAAAGTGATAGATATTATATCCCCATATTAGTGGGATATATAATATCATTTACATAGTATTACATATCGACCAGATATAAAATTATCTTACATTATATGTCGTGGGTCTTACAAACTTGTACTAAAGAGGGTGTGATTTCCAGTAATCTCTTTGGGGAGACCTTGAATCCCCTAATCTAACAAGCCCGATCTTCTCGTCTTTTGCAGGGGGAGATGGATGTCGTTGAGGTAAGATTTATTAATCGGTTGTGTTTTGAACCACTTTCGGTTTTATGTCCGTCGGTAACCCGATCTTCCTCTCTCATTTCCCAATCTTTTTGTGCAATTCCTTTTCTTATAAGCCCGATCCCGATCCCGATCCCAACAATTTTATACTCTATTACCTTTTTATAGACTTCTCTCTTATGGATTTTTGGGTTGTTTTCTATATTTAGCACTTGTTCTTTTGTTTAGTTGCTAGAGGTCTTATTTTCTATGGTCTTTTTGTGCTTGATCTTGAAACTACATTGTTTGTCTTTTACTGTTGTGGATGTGGTTTTGTGGTTTCTATGCTTCTACTTTGCTTTTCCTAATTTGTTCTTGGTGATTTTAGAGTGTTACTAATGTTGAAAAAGGGCTTCCTTCTCAACTCTACGTCAGCTATTAGGTGATTCTCTAAGGAAAAGAAAGGTAAAAGTAATGCAATGGACACAAATTTAAATCAAGACAAAATGAGATGTCGTCGCCACTCGACTTGTTTTCTGGTTTGGACCCTCTTGAAATAGCTTTAATCAAAGGTACTCTTTGTGATAATTCTTCTTTGATTGGGAAATTATTGCGCAAACTCTTAAGAATGGAGATTTAGGCCTCATTTGGAAACAAGCTATTTTAGTAAATTTTTGGCAATTTTTGGCTTTTTACAAAAATGTGCAGAAAAGTAGAGAGAGTGATGTGACAACTTATAGTGACTTTTTGGCTTTTTTACTAAAATAGCTACTCCCCAAACGAAGCCTTAAATGTTATGGATGAAGACCCAATCAAGAACAACACTTTACCAAAGCAGTGCTAAACAATGTCATGGGGCCCAAGTAGTGATTTGAATAGCTGTGTTGTTTCTGATCCATCTTCTAGTTTTTGATTAGTTTTTTTCTGGTAAGGAGGCTCTATCTAGTGAATTAGGAGAGGGTCTCACAAGTGGATCTACTTGATGGAATAAAGAGTGACCACACTATAATGTGGTGTGACTCACTTCACTCAATCTTCTCTCTCTTAAAGTTCTGAAGAACCTTCCCGCAAGAATGTTGAAACTATCTATTAGTTAGTTAATGGTTTGAATTTAAACATCAATAGACACAACTCTGATTGAACCATGGTGACTATTATGATATGAAACTGTAAATCATAAAGTATTATAACGCAGCGGATGATTAATTTCAAAGCCATACCTTTAAGCAGAGTCTGAAGTGAAGGATCTCGTGGGTAAATCACGTGCTTCCAGAATCTTGAACAACCAACCCAGCAGTGGAGTGATATTACAAAATAAATATCACCCACGCAAATCACAGTGCAAAATGGCTGGATCGTTGTTTAATGAGAGAGAGTCTGGGAAAAAAGGTTATGGGTAAAAACCCCATAACGTATCTGATATACCAATATATTATCTAAAATATATAATAAGATATATAACCACCAATATCTATCTATCCATCTATCCATATCTATTGATATGATAGATATAGATATCCTGAATGGTTATCCAAATAAGTTTTGAATTAAAATTCAAACTTACATGGATAAGGTTCAAAAGGTTCAGGTTCAAAAGGTTCAAAGGGTCATGCCATATGGGCGCCCAATTTCTAACATCTCCCACTCGCACATGAGTTGGCATGACACTGCCACATCTCTATCTCAATCTCCCCAAAAAATGAACAATCTCATAGTAGCCAATGCACAGTGCGACTGCTGAGAACACCTGCATGTAGGAGTTCTATACTAGAAACTCAAAATGAGCCAGCATAGAGACATCAACCCAAAAAGAATAGAAATAGTGTCTCATATACCCCAGACACATCTAATTACACCAGTCCAAAAAATACATCTCTAATCCCTCAAAAAGAGCATGTTTGACCCTTTCAATTCTTGTAATATATTCACACTCAATCCGCCTCTCATACAGAGCGATGTGAGTTGCCAGCAGTGAATATACAACAGTAGTGTAATACTAGATGATCTTCCATTTGCCCTCATGCCATGTAGTTTAGGATTGACCGTTTTCCCAATGATATCCCTTAAGGCCGAATCATACATGACCGCAGGCAGCATACCAAAGTAGCAGAACATCAACCCCTTACCTTATGACATAGTCAAAAGTCACAAAAGGGTATATAAATGAAAGTCATATCAATAATGGCATGTAAGACTCACACGGTGAGGAAACAAGGATCCATTCTCTCACCTCATTACTCGATCGCCAAGCACATATAGTATGAATACATGTTACGGTGGAGTAACTCTTCCAAAAGAGTGACATCATACTCGATACACCGTACAAATCTTAGTCTAGTCGCTTTCTAGCGCCTAACCCGAATTCTCTATTTGCTCGCCTTCTAAGCGCCAAATGAGATCTCGCATCTGGCTAATCATAACAGGCACAACATGAAAAGTGGGTACTAACATCCATGTTTGGTCCTTAACACGACCTCATCTTGGTTGTAACCAAGGCGACATACATAATGGATAATTTTAATCCTCTCTTGGCTCCAAATAAAAATAAACCACTAGTCTCATCCTTGCTCGCTCCCAAGCGCCAAGGGCGATTGCTCGTGTGAGTGAGCCAATCTTGCCTGCTGACATCATCATCTGCTAATCATTATGGCACAAACCATAATAGTGTCAACATCCCATCATCTCACAAGAAATAAGTGATCGATCTAAAAAACATGACCACAGCCTGCGCAATTATAAATTCCAAGCATAAGCCTTATCAGCCCCTCTTGCGATAAGCATATACAATAGAATCCACCATTTGCGCCTCACGTGAAGTGGTTCAAGATCACTACTTCTTGCGTAATTACCTCTCTAAAGATATTTTGGTGACCAATTTACGTTCATTCTTGATGCGCCCAACTAGCGCATTGAATCTTACAAGGAGC